CATTTCGACTTTGATTTAAGGATAAAATCATTATAACGCAAGCCAAAGTGTGAACTACCATGATCATGAACAAAGAAAAACAAATAAAAGAAAATCTTTTTGACTTTTTTCCCAATTTTTTTTGAATTTTTCTAAATAAACATATGCATCAAAAAAAATATACATGAATATGCATTAAACAAGGAAAAATAAATAAAGCAATTACCATAAATCCTAAAAATATATGTCCAAATTGACATCAAAACTCTTTTTTGGATTTTTCTATTCCTTTTGTTTTTGGTTTTTCATATTTCTCTTGTTTTTTATTTTCATTTTTATAATATTTTTGTATTTTCATATAGAAAACAAATAATAAATAAACAAATAAAAATATGTATGAAGCATAACCCTAGGGTGTTCGATGAAATGCATTAAAGGTCACCTAGGTCCATACACTCACCTCTCTTACTTCTTAGGAGCCATGAGCTTGCTAGAAGTACTTGGGGCTTCCAACTTGGTTAAATTAGTGAGTTTTTCAAGATCCTCCCTTGTCACCCATACTTGTTTTCCCTCCCTAAAACTCGGGTTAGGTCAAGGAATTGGTGGGCACTCTAACGTGTGGTCTATGTGAAAATAATGCATGATTATGCTTGGACTCACAAGACCTCTCCAAAAGCTTAGAAAACCTTGAGACTTGTTGATCTAAGGCTTTGGATTGATTGGCTAGATGCACAAGCTTTTTATTTAAGACATCTCTATTTTTCATGCAATGTTTACTATAATGACCATGTTCTCCACAAGTATAACACAAATCATGATTGGTTTGGGTTTCAAAAATTACCTTCTTCTTTGAGTTCATTTTAAGACTTGTGCTTTCTTATGAGTGTGATGGGTTGGTGTTACCCTTCATAAACATAGTCTTGGAGCAAATATTGGCTTATTCATTTGTGTAGCGTATTCCACACTTATCACCCACACTCTTTCCTATAGATAACATCCTATCAACTTTTCATTGATTTGGGAAGTCTTTTAAAGAGTTCATTTGATACATGAAGATCTTTATCAAGTTTGACACATTTTGATTCAAGATTCTTCTTTGACTTAACAAGCTCATGACACTTTCTCTCAAGAAAACTTACTCAATCAAGGAGAGATTTCTTCTCATTCCCTAGGCCACATATTTGGGCCTTGGACTTCACCAAATCCACTTGTAATGCTTTTCTCTCTTCTTTACTTGAGTTAGCCCGACCACCCAAGGATAACACTTTCTCTTGTTGATTGAGGAAGTACATACAATTGGTTGTATACATCTTGTGTATCCTCAAAGCAATCTTTATCTTCCACATATATGGGGATTTCTTCTTCCGAGTCTTCTACCGTCGNCTTGAGTTAGCCCGACCACCCAAGGATAACACTTTCTCTTGTTGATTGAGGAAGTACATACAATTGGTTGTATACATCTTGTGTATCCTCAAAGCAATCTTTATCTTCCACATATATGGGGATTTCTTCTTCCGAGTCTTCTACCGTCGTGGTAAGACTTGACACGACTTCACTCATTGAAGTTTCTTGAAGGGGAGAGGAGTGTGAACATATAAAGACCGTAAAGTTCTCTTCATCATTCGAAGAGGAGTCATCACTCAGAGTTAACTCACTTTCACAGNCGTGGTAAGACTTGACACGACTTCACTCATTGAAGTTTCTTGAAGGGGAGAGGAGTATGAACATATAAAGACCGTAAAGTTCTCTTCATCATTCGAAGATGAGTCATCACTCAGAGTTAACTCACTTTCACAGTCACTCCATGTGGCCTTCATATCTCTCATCTTGTCCTTGGGCACATCTTTCTTAGTTCTATTTGGGCATTCCTATGCAATATGTCTAAAACCTTGACATTCAAAACTTTGAAAGCTTTGCCCCTTTCTCTCAACCTCTTGTTGAGAGTCTTACCCCCTTTTTCTTTTCCTTTCTTAAACGTTCTAGTTCTATTTGACTTTCCTTTCGACCTTGAGGACTCAAAATTTGAGTGTTAAAAAATCTTTTGAACTCCTTAACAATCAAAGCTAGGCCCCCCTCTCCTATTCGGGGTGACTCGTATTTACTTCCCTCTTATTTTGNTTCTTAAACGTTCTAGTTCTATTTGACTTTCCTTTCGACCTTGAGGACTCAAAATTCGAGTGTTAAAAAATCTTTTGAACTCCTTAACAATCAAAGCTAGGTCCCCCTCTCCTATTCGGGGTGACTCGTATTTACTTCCCTCTTATTTTGTTGAGCTCAAGGTATGACCTTTTCTTCCTTTAGGGATGAAAGGTCTATCTCAAAAGTCAATATCGACCCAACTAGGTCTTCAACTAACAACAACTCCATGTTGACAATTGTTTCCAAAAATGTGACCTTAGCATGAAACCTCTCAGGTAGAGATCTAAAAATTTTCCACTTGATGACCACATCATCAACCTTAGTACCTAATGCAAATGATAAATTTATAATATCACACAATTTAGTATAACATTCACTAAATGTTTCATCATCTTGCATCCTCAAAGTCTCGCACTAAGAGATGTACCTTTTCACCATGGAAGTCCCTTCGTGGGAAACAATCAAGATGTCTCATGCTTCTTTGGAAGTTTCGTAATTAGCGATCCTCCGAACCTCATTGGGTGTTATAACATTGAATATCACATTCAAGCCTTTTGAGTTCCATCCTATTGACTATGTCTTGGTTTTTGACCAAGTCCTTGGGATTTCAATTCAACCATCGTTTCACCATTTTCTACTTGTGTGGTGGCGATGGGAGGGCTTCAACCCTCTTGGGTGGTCAACTACACTCTCTCATCAATGGATTTAAGAAATACTCTCATGCGAGCTTTCCAATACATAAAGTTAGATCCATCAAAGAGTGTTGATCATCTAATTGAACCACCTTCCTTTTAATTAATAATAACAATAGATCTCTTGAAGGCAAACTAGGTAAATAAGTAAAAACAAGATATACCTACTAGTGTCTATGATCTCATGACAACCACGTTTTAATACCAATTGTTGTTTTGGATCCATGTGGATCTTTCCTCATGATTATACACATGGAACAATAGGTACTTTACCTAGAAGTTAGTGAATAGATTTTTCAATTTTAGCCCAATTAATTACCCATAAAAACCTAAACCACCACAATTACATAATTCACAAAGATGTAATAATTAATATGAGAACCCTTTTAGTCACCAAAACCAAATTAACCATGATGTTGATTTTAATTAATCTTCAATTAATTCTCTCACAATCAATCTCACGACGATCTCAAACCCCAATTTGCACACAATGGTTGAATAGATATCAATCAATCAAATAAATAAACACATAGTGTGCATGTGTACAAACAATCATAAATGAATATGAAATATGCAAGATTAACATAAGTGATTTGTTGACGCAAAAACCCTTATCGAAAAAAACCGCGGGAAACCTTCTCGGTTGACTAAAACCTAATCAACTAATCACTAAGTCAACGTACAAGTACTCGAATCTTATACTTCAACTAATACCATGATTAGATGCTCCTTTCCTTTATGTCTCCCTATCAAATGTTGTCTTTCAACGTCTTGTGTAGCTTCACTTGGACCTTCTCACCACATGGTTCGTCTAAGCCTCAAGTAATCATGGGCACACCAATGATTCTCGGTATACACACACCAAGGATTTGGTTTACACGATCAAGATCTTCAACACCAAATTGTGAGATTGTGTAGAATCTCTAATGGTAGCCTTTAGATTTAGTAGTAAAAACTCTCAAGATAGAAGAAGTGTTTTCTTTCTTAAAAATTTCACTATAAACTTAACCTAACTATGAAAAAGGCTCTCTCTATGTACAAGTCCAAAATAAGAGTAGTCTTAGTAAATAAAAAAACTCAGATTTGCGAACAGCCGTTCGATCAGTGGGAGGGCGGCTAGTTCTGAAATGAAAATTATGTTTATATCCTGTGTAGGAGTAGCATCGCTCGAGCGACCACAAAGGCCAACTGATAGAGCAAGCTCTATGCTATTCCTCCGTGGCCTTTTCCCGTTTAACTCCTTAAGTCATAAAGAAATCGCTTTGCCCAAGGCTAACTAACATAGATCAGTCCCTACCAAATTTTGAAGCACAAAATCAAGCAAAAACTACTCATCTTGGGCACTAAATGGTGTTGCTAAAAAAAGGTCCAATAATGGCTTGATCTATGTTTTCAAAACACAAAATTGTTTTTAAAAAAAATTCTTTTGACAGCACCTAGTAGACATACACAAATTGTTTTCAATTCCATTTTTATCTTAATTATCTTAAATTAAAAGTAACTAAAAGTCATCTTAAGTGTGTAGATAATCTTTGTCCTAAACATGGAGGTTTATACGAAAGTTAATTGATGTTGCATTTACACTTGATCTCTTTCCTTCAATGACACCTTCCGATCCTCAACTTGATAATATCATAACCATGAAAAAAGTTGAGATTTATAATGAGTTCACGAAATTAGCCAATTACAACACATGATTTAACTAAATGAATAAAATAATCTCTAGGATAGGGTATATATTTTGTTAGGTGTACTTACTTTTTGACTTATTATTGAAAAATAATACCACAAGAAATTTGATGTTTTAACACTCTTACATTAAATATTTTCTCCTGAGAAGGGGATGGATAAATAAGTCATCATATCTACGATGGTTCATTGGAACTTAACCTACTCTTCATAGCCCAGAGCATGCGGTGAGACTTTTGCTTTGGCCCCAACGTAGGTGTAATATGATCCCTACAGATAACTATGTTGTGCCTCTAACAGATATATAGAGTTGTCTATCTGCATATCTATTGTGTACCCAAAAAAAGAGTGATCACGCAATAAAGCTAAATGTAAGGGGTGTGAATACAACTCACCCAACGGATTTTAATCTCCTTGTGTTTGATGTAACTGCAAAGAATTCATAATTCATTGTGCATCCCAAATATGAAAATAATCTCAATCCGATCATGAAAAAAAGTACAACATTGAATTTTTAAATTGTACGAGTAGCCAAACATTAATGAATAAATTACTGAAAATAAAACTAACTCATCCGCCTGCGAAACAAAATTTGTCTACTTCCTTTGGAAATTCATTCCATAGTGTAAGTTATTAAAACATCTAAGGAGAACGTGTTTTTGCCTTTACTTTTCCACTCCGCAATAGATCAAAGAGAACCCTGGCATAGAGTCCAGGCTTGAACTCTCTTCGAATTGCAATAACTACAATCAATTTCAATACCCAAGAAGCTGGAGTTACGCATTTTCCGTGCTGCCCAAAAATCATATTGATCAAGATAGATATTGCAATTGCAGAAATATCAGTAGCCTATTGAGCAAAATCAAGTGGACATGGAACTGTGCCAAGAGGAAAAAACATTTTAGCATCTCCTAGAAGAATATTGCAAGAAAGGACACCATTTCCCTATTCAGTCGTCTTGCAAGTAAAGCACACACACAGGGTTGCAAAGCTATTAACGTTTTGATGAAGGAAGCAAGCAGTCATAGACCCGTTCCATGCGTGATGTAATAGTGAGCTTGTAGGCAGTTTGAAGGCCTGGCTTCGCTAGATCAATAATATCCTGCCTCAAACTGTTAATAACAACTGCGGGTTAGCTCCTTGCCATAGTAGAGTGTCTGACTCTATGTCTCTACCACCCAACCCCCCCAGCCTCTCTCTCTCAAAACACACAGAAAACCATGATCTAATTCAGATGAATAGCACATAGAACTGATGAATTGAAACTAACCATTGGTATTCACCGGTTGCCTTTGCATGCCTCTCCACAGCACAGTACAGGCGATCCAGACTATACAAAACCAATCCAAACATGCTTTGAGTATCTTTTTCCTGCAAAACGCAGAACATCTTAACATTGATCAAAAAAATAAAAACGAAGTCTACAACAAAAAATTTGTAATTCACTGGGGGTTGTATGTATATGTATTATGATGGATAACAAACAATGAGACAATATTACTGATAGAGATCGAAAAGGGATTGGATGAGCCTAAATTGAAGAATTGAATTTTATTATTTGTTTTAGTATTATTTTATTAATTAGGGAATATTTGTTTGACTAGAAGTATTAATTAGAATTTAACTAGGAAATTGTTATAGAGTTTTAGTAGAATAGGGATTTGAGAGTTTAATTATGAAACCCTTTAGTATTTTAGTAGGAGAGTAGTTTTTATTTTATTAGGGGACTTGACCTATAAATAATTGTGTAATCCCAACTATTTTTATTAGAGAGTGATATAATAAAAAATGCTTCTCCTTGAAGAATTTGTGTTTCTTCATCGATTCCTTGCGAGGATGAGGTAAACCCCTTCCACCCCCTCTTCTTTCTTCTTCTCTTTCCATTCTGTAATTTCTAGTCCTACATTAGTTACTGATGCAAAATAGTTAGGAACATGTGATGATTTGAAACCGGTATAAATAGACCAAGACTGCCAAGACATCTCCACCCAAAGAACAAAGAAAGAAAGAAACGAAGACACCCCAAATATGTACACATTTAAGTGTCATTACCCATTATTCATTCCTCTTTAATTGTAGGTTGTTGAAGAGACTAGACTAAAAAAGGATAAAATTTGCAATTATGTGCACGGTGACTATCCTCAAGTTCAAATCCAGATGCTCCCTTCTCATGCTTAGCAGCTGAGCTTGTACCATTGCTTAAGCAATGGTCCCTAGTTATGTAGAAAGAAAAAAATGAACACATGATTTAACTTAATTCGAAAGATCACTATGGCAAGTAGACTTCTTCTTGCAACAACATACCTCCAACATTATGCACAATGCAGTTACCGGATATAAGACATTCAGTTCACTTGGACACATAGCAATAATTCTCTGTTCTATCCAAGTTCCAAGTTTAAATTACTATAGTGACAGCTTCAATCTTGCAAAAGATACATTGCTATGCATGTGCATGGGCTATGGATCAAAAAAATTACCATGAAGGAGGTCCTTACCAGTCCTTGATCAATGTAAATTTGAAACTGCATAATGCTCTTCTCAACCTCCACTATTAGTAACCTTCGTTGGAGTCGAGCAATCCTTCCCCTACCTTCTGCTCTAGTATCCTGATTGCACAATAACGACTAATAAGATATTTCACAACGGAATACATCTGACGTAATACCAATTTCTGACCATTAAACAATTTTGCATGATTTGTCTACGGGCTTAGAATGTAGTAAAAGTTAAATCAATTATTTGTCCTTCAGTGAATTCTAGAGAGAACAAACGAAGGGAAATATTTCCTCAAAAGGAAAAGAAAACGAAGCTAAGTTGTTATTCACCACAGTTGTTAACATGCTTGGAAATGCAGTTCCATATACACAGATACAAGGCAGCCCAGATTGTCTCTTTATAGAAAAAACGACCATTAGTGGAATAGTATATGTAATTTATAAGGATGAAATGAGATCCACGACTATAAAATCATTTACCCCCAAGTTTTAGTAAATTCGGGTTAATCATATACCATAAGTCGCTGCAATTTATTTGACTGGTGAAATAGTGGACAATTTCGACAAAAACATCGTGATTGCACATCACTAAGGTGGGACAAGTAACCATTTACCAATTAACCTGTTCCAAAATCTTGATTCCAAGTTTCTATGCCTATTTGATAATTGGTTAGGATTAAGATCTGCTGCTTAGCTAATATGCATTTATTGACCATGCTTTGACCTTCTGACCAAATAAAAAACCTGCTTTGACCCATAATAGAGACAATGCAGTGTATAACTCCTCGATGGTGATGACTAATTGTGATAAATTTCAGTTTTTATTCTTTTTCTTGTGCTGTTATTGTATATTTCAATCATCAAACTATTTATATCAAGGATCAAAATATCGTTTCAAAACGATCGAAACATCCGTAACGTTTCTGTTTCCAAAGAGACCGAAATGAATCAGTGATGGAATCGAAATTCTAATACTTCGAAGTGTTCCATAATATTTCGAAATATTTTGTTATATTTCANAAAGAGACCGAAATGAATCAGTGATGGAATCGAAATTCTAATACTTCGAAGTGTTCTATAATATTTCAAAATATTTTGTTATATTTTANTAACGTTTCTGTTTCCAAAGAGACCGAAATGAATCAGTGATGGAATCGAAATTCTAATACTTCGAAGTGTTCCATAATATTTCGAAATATTTTGTTATATTTCAATGCATTTGCTCAATTATTTCGGAATATTTCAAGGTATTTTAAGATTTTTTGATATATTTCGACCAATATTTTGAAAAAATAATTCTTAAATTTTTATTATTTTTCATTCTTTTTTCGAAACGGGTCGAAATGTTTCCATTTTCTTGGTGACCGAAACAATGCACCGAAACGAAATTTTGATCCTTGATTTATATATTCCACACTGAAAAAGCAAACCTCAAAGGACTTGTTTGACGAATGAAGCTTATGGAAAACGCTAAGACCAACAATATCATATGTATAGCAAGTACAAATGAAAGTACAAGGGCTGAGAATCTATACAGTAGTACTCATCATGGATCGATAAAAGTATTGGGTGAATCATGAGGTTGTCTATACATTAGTACTCATCATGGATCGATAAAAGTATTGGGTGAATCATGGGGTTGTGGATTCGAGTCCAACAGCATCCATTTTGTTCAAATAACATCAAATGTTGGTCTACACCCAATCCACTCCCAGACTATGTAGGACCAAACTGGGTAATGATCATTATCATGGACCTAGTATGTTGGCACCCTATATTTGAAAATCCAAATTTTATCAAAGCCATTCAAAAAATTCCAGATTACTTATGAATATTCATGTTATAATGAGCGATCTCCACAACCCTTGCACAGATACCAGCACCTTAACAATAGTATCTACCTTCAAAAAAAAAAAAAAAACAATAATATCTGCAGCTTTTACTCCCAAGTCCTAACATTTCCTAGCCACTAGGGCAGCAAATAGATGTACATGGTAATGTTAATTAATAACAACTAAGATGTAAAGTAAGCCTAAAGTTAGGGTCATGGATAATATTTAAGCTATATTTGGTTAAGGTNAGGGCAGCAAATAGATGTACATGGTAATGTTAATTATTAACAACTAAGATGTAAAGTAAGCCTAAAGTTAGGGTCATGGATAATATTTAAGCTATATTTGGAGCAAATTTTAGCCTAAAACTACAGGTTGGTATTCCCAGGACTGACAGAGCACCAAGAAAGTGCTTAGGGCTATAGAGGTAAGAGAGGATGGAGCTAGGGTTTCAGGATCATGGTTAGGGTTTTAGGCAGGACAATAGATAGATTGGAGGGTGATAATGGCCAACCACAGCAGAACCAAAATCAGAATTACAGCAAAAGGACAAGAAGAAGAAAAAGGAGGAGAAAAGAATCAGAAAAGGATAAAAAAACTAGAGTCCCACTACCGCATTTTAGGAGTCTTACCCAAAAGAATCTTAATGGAGTCACGCCATTGAAAGAGAGAAAATATGCAAAGAAACTGTATTAATCAACTAGTCAAATTGTCTTACAAATATCAAGTCAGTTTATGCAATCAGTGTGGTAAGTCAATTTATGCTAACATCTTGTGGATCTCATAGGGAGACAGTTCATAGAATTATAAGATACCTTAAACTGGCTCCTTGTAAAGGATTACTTTTTCTAGATATGATCATCTGTGAGTGGCAGCTTAATCAAATTCAGACTGGTCTGGATCACTTACAGGAATACGAGTCTCTGGGTATTGTACCTTTGTAGGGAAGATTTGGTAGAATGGCGTAGTAAAATCTAGTGCAGAAGCAGAATTTAAAGTTATAGTTCATGATATTTATGAATTCTTATGGATAAATCCATATTGAAGNCAGGAATACGAGTCTCTGGGTATTGTACCTTTGTAGGGAAGATTTGGTAGAATGGCATAGTAAAATCTAGTGCAGAAGCAGAATTTAAAGTTATAGTTCATGATATTTATGAATTCTTATGGATAAATCCATATTGAAGGAGCTTGGTTTTAGTTCTAAGAAGATGATGAAATTGTACTATGAGAATAAGATGATGGTTAGCATTGCCCATGATATGAAAAAGGGAGGCCTGACCAAGTACGATGACATCACAAGAATCAGAAAATAAGGGGACAGAGCACAACAGACAAATTGATGGTGAAGTGTAAGGTTGTAACACTTATACCATTTTGGGTGCGAGAATAACTCAAGAAAACGCACTTGAGAGACTAGGGTCAAGTTTGTCCATACCTGGACTCAAGTGATGACAAAGGCGACACAACCAATGCAAAATCAATTGGTAATGAGCAGAAAGACTCACAAGGATCATTTACTTATTTGAGAGCACTATTGAAGTGATGTGGGACATGTTCCAACACTCCCTGCCATGTGCATCCCCCTCGCTCTTGGAGAGTTAGACAAGAATCGGAAGACATAATCAGAGATATAATAAAGTGCGTATATGGCAAAAATAAAGGGGAACTAGTACCAAATCAATTAAATTGAAACAAAGAGTCTTGCACAAAGCCTCCTGAAGCCCCGGTCTAAAATCATGAAAAATCAAATTATATAATTAAAGAAAAGAAAAAAATAGAGAAATGCAAAGAGAAAAAGAGAGAGGGAGAGATGGAGAGAAAGAGAATGGGGGGAGAGAATGGAAATAAGGCGAAAAATCCTACTTCCTCACACGGCTACATATATATAGAGAGAGGTGATACATTGTAATGATCCAATCACCCTTTACTAATATTGTTTGCTAACTAAAACAACTACTTTAGCACAGACACATAATCCGTTCAAATCATAAATCATCTACTCGATGAAATGCTCAATCATACTATTTCCATAGAAAACCAGAGATATCTTTGCAGTTCTTACCCGTTTAATCCATGCACGCACTAGCATGAGCAAAATAAGGGAGAGAAAGAAAGCTGGTAAAGCAGCTAGAATGGCAAAGTTGATTTCGTTTGCCCTAAGTATCTGGTCCAGCTCAAGCATTGCCCTGTTTATAAATATGGTCATCAGGAACAAAAAGGATGAGATAAAGATCAGAATTTTAGACAGGGATACCAGTTTATTTCACTCACGTCTCAATATCCAATTTTAGCTTTTGAACCTGCCATGGCAACATCTCATTGTCACATGTCAGAACTGGACCCCACTGACTCCAAAAAAGCAGAGTTTATTACCTGGATAAGAAAAGCACGAACAAGCTCACCCCCAACAAGATTCTGAATTGGATGCATAAGTTCCTTCTCATACCTACATTAGGGAATTAATGAACTCACTTTATAAAATAACAGGAAAAATGACAGATCCAACAAACATTCACGGACTGGGCGCCCTGTGCCTCGTTGCCTGAATACATTATATAAACACGAATACCCATACAGTGTAGATCAAATCGCACCTGCTGTAAAAGTTGTTATTTTTGCACCCTCATAATTTGCCAAGACTACTAACAGATTAGAAAGCCCAACCCTCCTATATCATACATGCCTAATATCAAGTGGATAAAAAATTGATAGCTTTTAGTCTTTCAATTCTTCACTCTTCGATGCATTTCATTGCACAATGCCTGACAAATAAATTCCAAGGTGCTAGCAGAGGTGACTAGACACGAACTAAACTCCATCCATATTTTCACATCATGGCTGCCCTCAAGCTTGGACCTGGGTTTTCCATTCTTGAAGAGCACAGCTTTCACCATTGCACCATGCGATGAATGTCTGGCAACAGTTCTTTCTCGGAGCCAAGCCAGGAATGGCCGTTTGTGGGCACCCACCACTCTTCACCAGTTAGAGAGGTCCCCTTTTATACATTAAGGAAAGAGGTTCATAAGGACCAGAAAGACTCGATCACAGGAACTTAGACTGCCTACGTGCTGGTAAACAAAAACCACCACCTCAACCAGATGAGANACATTAAGGAAAGAGGTTCATAAGGACCAGAAAGACTCGATCACAGGAACTTAGACCGCCTACGTGCTGGTAAACAAAAACCACCACCTCAACCAGGTGAAAGTAAACAACAACATCGAATTAGGCTGCCCCTTGCCTTGAAAGAATTCACACGCGGCCACCAGCTTTCCCAAAATAAGGGGAGATCTACTGCTTGCTTACTGTTCACAAAAACATCCGACCTATACTATAGTATAGCCGTCCGCCTATCTTTCTACTCTCCTTTCCTTCTATTCATCAGATTTTTGGCTTTGACTAATTCAAGTTGAAGAGCTATTCTCTCTAAGTTAATCTTAGATTTGACTGGCAAAACAATTATAATCCTGGTATGCAAACCAACAATAGACTATGAAATAAGAAGGGTTCGGTGAAGAGTTAAGACTTGTGTAAGAACCTTATACCTGCAACCTGTGAAAAGCACAGATATGGATATAGGATACAGATGTGATGCAACGTAACACGACACTGGATTCTAAAAGTATAAGACACGGGCACCAAATTCTAAAAATGTAAGGCACAGGCACTGCTAGAACGTGGTACAAAGAATTGTGTTTTATATATCAATTTGTATATTGACTATATAGATCTCATCGTACTATATATCAATATTATCGTTCTATGGTGTAAATAAACCTTGTCCTATATCCTAACATGAATTTTTAAACCAATAGATTGTAATAGTTAATGACCATCTATGTCTTATAGACAAAGTGTAGCAAGCAAACATAAATATAGTGACTCCTATCATCTTCCAAATCCTCGTTTTAGTATACAATCTTTATACATAATATTTTGCATTTTTCTATAGTTTTTCACTAAAACTTTAGCATATTTAGTCTTAACAATTATACAATTTTCCATGGAATAAATNATAAATATAAAATAAGTATTAGTTGCTTGCGTATAAGTTTATATAACAGAGAAAGTGATCTGGATAAGAGTTGCAAAGCGAACAACAACCCAATATGACATACCAACTCAACCTACCCCTATCGCACCGAGTTTCGGAAAGGTATTCTACCAAGAACCTATATCACACACAAATCGACTCACAATCCAGGTAATATTGAAATATTATCAACTAGTTAAATGGACTTTGAAAGAATGAGGTTAAAGTAACCTCAACTTAGCAAACCAGCATTTCTTACAAAAATTTCACCAGAGAATATACGATGAAATGACCGAGAGTCTCACCGAACCAGGAGAAAACATGGTTGTTAACACATCCCATCTTCTCACAAATATTGTTTACCTAGGTCATAGTGAGTGTACTTTCTAAGGGAAAATAACCAATAAGTCCTATTTTACAGGTCAAATATCTTTTAAGTCTTATAAATTATCAGTGGTACTAATAAGTCCATGTTTCTATTCCAAACAAATACACAATCTCCTTGAATTCCTGTTTAACCCCTANCACAACCATGTAATACATAACTACCTCCATGATAGGAAGTGAGCCCCATTTTATCCGGTTTGTAGTTTTTTGATGGATGGTTATACCACATTAGCATTGCTAACATGGTGTAACTGTTACACGCAATATTTACTCCATGATAGGACTGTAAGAANTCTTATAGACAAAGTGTAGCAAGCAAACATAAATATAGTGACTCCTATCATCTTCCAAATCCTCGTTTTAGTATACAATCTTTATACATAATATTTTGCATTTTTCTATAGTTTTTCACTAAAACTTTAGCATATTTAGTCTTAACAATTATACAATTTTCCATGGAATAAATAATCATATTTCAAATTTTCAAACTTTGTTACTCACATTGGCACATGCCCAAGAAGTATTAACCACACATTTATTAGTTATAGATGCAACTTGCTAAGTGTCGGACACATCACAAAGAAGTGTCAAATGTGTGNTATATTCTCCATTCATAGGCGTCAAATTGAAAATGTCATGCCTCACTGAGACTTGGACTTCAAAAATTTATCTCACAAGACAAGTCATCTTGAGACAATGGAAAATTAAGATACATATTGCTAATATAAGGAACTCATAATGATGCCTTATTTGAAAGAGTTAGTATGAGAGAATGATTCTTTTAATATAACATGGGCACACACATGTAAACATAAGTTTACCAAGTCAGGCTGAAGAAAACACTGGATAAAAGAAGAAAAGATTTGTACTCTATACTCANGTTAGAAATTTAATTTTTTTTATATTTAAATTAGAGAAATGGGAATTTAAGAGTGTTTGACACTAGTTTGAGAAATGTCGGTGAGTAACACCCCGACAAAGAAATAGTAAAAATAAATAATGCTAAAAGTTTTTGGATTGAAACATAATTTATGAGAAAATAATATATTATAATTATAGATCAAGGCGGATGTTTGTGTCAATATAAATTGGATTGTGTGCCAATAGCCATGTGTGGCCGTGCATGTGATACAAGTGTCTTAGTTTTTTATAAAAGTCTTGTGTAAGGTTAAACATATGTACATTTATACCTTATAGATGTATGTTGTGTTTGTGTATAGAGAAAATAAGAGTTGTGTTTATAGTTGTGCTAAGATAAGGAAAGAGAGATAGAAAAGTTGAGAATAATATGAAGAAAATTTGAGAACATTACAAAAGCCAAAGGTTAAAGAAAGTCTGATCAAGACAAAATTGGAGTTTGTCATCTTAATATCTAGCAGAACATATCTCTTTGATTGAGCTCTATGCAAGTGGGATTGTTCATAAAATGCGTTCCTTTTAAATCTCTTTGCAACAGAGTATTTAATTTGACTACCGCGAATTTGCAATCCCCTTTATCATGTTGTGATTATTGCCAATTTCTAAAATTTCATGTTGATATGTTGGATTGAGTTTATCCTCGCTAAAGTGCCATATAAGTAATTGATACCTACAATGAAGGAACTCGCCAACAGTCCAAGTCAAGATTCTAAGATTCTTGAGGTTGAGATCCAAGACAAATGAGGTGAGATGAGGTTGGTGTCACTAGACATGTTTACTAAGATGGGCCCACAATTGGAAAAAAATATTTGGTATAACCGTTACGGCACGTTTGCAGTGTCATGTAATAGAACCATCCACTAATAAGTAAACAAGTTAGTAAGTGAGCCCACAAAAATTCATAACCACACAACCATGTAATACATAACTACCTCCATGATAGGAAGTGAGCCCCATTTTATCCGGTTTGTAGTTTTTTGATGGATGGTTATACCACATTAGCATTGCTAACATGGTGTAACTGTTACACGCAATATTTACTCCATGATAGGACTGTAAGAATGTTGATATTTCATTCAAACATAAGGGCATTAAAACATATGCAAAAAATTAAAATCTTAGTTTGAAAGGCAAGTGGTTACCAGAATTGTAGATATCCCCAGTATCCCACCAATCAAGGTCGCACGTCCCGAAATGGGGTGGGTTCGTGATTCAGATTGTCAAAACTTTCAACCACAAATTGCAACTCAAATCCCAATTCCTAAACCAACCCATGATCCAACTCCAAAACTATAATTCTTACCCCAAAATAATGACTGCACAATTATTTCTTTAATTTTGTGCTCTTTAGACTTATATTTTGGTAATATTGATTTCACTTTTTCATAATACAAATGTTCAACAACTAGTTTCTATTATTTACCATCATTAGCCGATATGTGTATCTGAAATTATATTTCACTTTCTAACTCTTAAATAAATATAAAATAAGTATTAGTTGCTTGCGTATAAAAGTTTATATAACAGAGAAAGTGATCTGGATAAGAGTTGCAAAGCGAACAACAACCCAATATGACATACCAACTCAACCTACCCCTATCGCACCGAGTTTCGGAAAGGTATTCTACCAAGAACCTATATCACACACAAATCGACTCACAATCCAGGTAATATTGAAACATTATCAACTAGTTAAATGGACTTTGAAAGAATGAGGTTAAAGTAACCTCAACTTAGCAAACCAGCATTTCTTACAAAAATTTCACCAGAGAATATACGATGAAATGACCGAGAGTCTCACCAAACCAGGAGAAAACATGGTTGTTAACACATCCCATCTTCTCACAAATATTGTTTACCTAGGTCATAGTGAGTGTACTTTCTAAGGGAAAATAACCAATAAGTCCTATTTTACAGGTCAAATATCTTTTAAGTCTTATAAATTATCGGTGGTACTAATAAGTCCATGCTTCTATTCCAAACAAATACACAATCTCCTTGAATTCCTGTTTAACCCCCAACAACTATTAAAACAATTGTACTATTAACTCTAAATATGCAATCATTTATTAAATAGTGAGTGATAAAATTAATGTCAAATTAAGCCGTGAAAAACTAAATTGAATCAATAAGTTGATTTCGATTTTAAGTGGTGAAAGACATCAAGTGAATAAATAATTGAATTTGTTATGAATACAATGAAAATTAAAAATATTATGAGCGTATATTCTCAAAGTCTACCTAAATTTGTCTCACTCATAAATCGCTTATATTCTCCATTCATAGGCGTCAAATTGAAAATGTCATGCCTCACTGAGACTTGGGCTTCAAAAATTTATCTCACAAGACAAGTCATCTTGAGACAATGGAAAATTAAGATACATATTGTTAATATGAGGAACTCATAANGCTTCAAAAATTTATCTCACAAGACAAGTCATCTTGAGACAATGGAAAATTAAGATACATATTGTTAATATGAGGAACTCATAATGATGCCTTATTTGAAAGAGTTAGTATGAGAGAATGATTCTTTTAATATAACATGGGCACATGTAAACATAAGTTTACCGAGTCAGGCTGAAGAAAACACTGGATAAAAGAAGAAAAGATTTGTACTCTATACTCAAGGTGGAGCAGCCTCTAAACAAGGACTGCCATTAAANAGTCAGGCTGAAGAAAACACTGGATAAAAGAAGAAAAGATTTGTACTCTATACTCAAGGTGGAGCAGCCTCTAAACAAGGACTGCCATTAAAAAGCAACAATCATTGTAGTATGTTCCACAGCTGTTTTACACACATACTTATGTGCCTCACCACAGTAAAACACTTGTGGGTGAAGGAAATCATACCTGCCCATAACTATTTCAAGCATTTCCTGGTCTGAAGCATTCTCCGGAAATTTTTTACCTTTGGTCTGCTCACTGAAAGTCAGCAGCATTCTGAAAGCCAATCATATGAAATGTCATACTGAGGTCAAGTTCATAAAGAGCCCAGATTGTTTATGTGAACTCGAAAATAACAGCATGGATGGATGAAGAACCTAAACTGCAATTAGAAAATAGAAAAATTTATGAGAGCATCAGTTATATGTCAAGAAAATCTTTCATAAGAAACACAGCAAGATGCACTTATCCATGGGCCTTACACAAGCTGAAACCACAGAATGGAGTGATACTGCAGGAATAGTCGTCCAAACGTGCTACCTAAGCTAAAATAGGGGGCCACTGGTTCAGTGGTTATAATTCAGCTCAGTAACCACGAGGTTGTGGTTCGAACCTGAAGGCAGCCACGTTGTGCAAATAAATGCTAAAGGTCAAGTCTGTACAAAATCTACCCCTACTATACCCACTATGATGGGGACTAAACGGATAACATTCTTATAGGCTACCTAAACTGAAACATGATCCAGAATAATGATATTTTTTTCAAGTGTTAATACAGCGGAGAAGAAACTGGAAACCTGGTGTTGGCAACAAGACATGCAAATTCCGCAATTGCAGGTGCAAAGTAATACATAAGTTCACAATTTGTCACAACACATATACAGCACAGTTTTCGAATTTAAAATTCATTTTTGAAAAACAGAAGTGTCTCTAGGTATCTAAACAAGCAAGCATGGGAGGGGGTTTTTCTTTTTCCCCTTTGCCTGCTTTTTATATTATTGGTATGCGGGAGGAGGTCAAAATTTATGAACAGTACATGTAATATCATATAATGAAGTGTTTAGAAATTGCAAAATAGGTAAAGGAATTCTGATAGGAAGAACTAATTAATGAACCCAAAAGAATAAGCATTGTCACGCTGATGAATTCACCCTGTCAGGGAGCATGCCTCACCATACAAAAGTAGTACCAGAGGAAGAAGAGAATGCTACACCTAGCAATGTACAAACCATAGCACCGCCTGTCCATACTCAAAGGGAATGGCAATGAACGATGCAACACCAACGATTACCTAGAAACTTGAAGCACTCCTTACAGCTGGTGAAACAGTACATCTGATCACTGTAAAGCTCGGACATTACAAATATTGGAAAGGATCGTATACATAACAAGAGCCAAACAACTGATTATTGTGAGGTTTGGACACGGCGTCATCATGCATCAAAACGACTCTAAGTGTTTTATCCAATCTAACACTAATTTAACCTGTATTTTCTAGTGTTCAGCACTGAAATGGTTGACTACGGAATAGTTTCAGTGTACCATATCCTTATTTCATAAATCGTGTACCTGCTAAAAAACGCTGCAATGAAATGAATTCAGCCACAACTTACGCAATGTTTACAAGCATCAAATTGGGATTCATGACAGCTCTGTGTTTTTTTTTTTGTCACCAAACATTTGACAATCACGACCAAAAAAAACATTTAACAGCCTGATCAGTCAAATCACTCCTTGCACGTTATCAACAACTCAACAAAATCTTGTCCCAACATTTTTTAAGTCGACTACATGAATCCTATTTCACCATTGTACTCTATTAATGGTCATGCTCTTTGTTAAACCATAAGTTATCATTTCTTTCTTTACTATTTTCTTAAAATTAATTTTGGTCTTCCTCTACTCCCACACTTCCAGTTAATAATTATCATATCACTCTTTCTCACCGGTGCCATTACTGGCCTCCCTTAATTTATCTCCTATATGTGCTACCTCTAATTTTTCATAGATATAATCATTTCTAATTCTATTCTTCTTAGTCTTACCATACATCTATCTTAGCATTCTTGTTTTCACAACACCTAATTTTTGAATGTGTTATTTTTTAGTTGCCCAACACTCACTACCGTAAAGCATAGCAAGTTTTATGGTCATTCCATAGAACCTTTGTTTAGCTCAAGGGGTATGCTTCTACCACACAATAGACAATACACTAGATGTACTCCTCCATTGAGTCTATCATGCTTTACTTTTATGAGTAACATCATCACCAATCTCACACTCTCTATGTATAATAGACCCTAAATATTTTGGTATTCAATTTTTACTACTACTTGGTTTAGATTCCTCTTTTTGCTAAAGTTACATTTCATATTCACTTTTAGTCCTACTTATCTTAGATCTTTTTAATTCTAGAGCTTCTCACCATATTTCTAGTTTATTATCAATTCATTCTTTACTTTCATCAATTAACGCAATATCATCTGTAACTAACATATACCAGGGAAGCTCATTATAAATGTGTCTAGTCAATTCATCCATAATCAACGCAAAAATATATGACCTCAACGCAAAACCCTAATGTAAGCTTACAATGATTGGGAATTCATTAGTCTCTCCTGCTGTTGTTCTCACTAAGTCACCACATTTTTACATATATCCTTAATCACATCAATTTACATAATAACTTTTTCTTCTTCTTTAGAACCCTCCACAATATACCTCTAGAAGCTCTATCATATAGCTTCACTAAATCTATAAACTTTATGAGATTGCACAGATATCATCTTCCTGATTTAAGTAGTCAGGCCTTGCACACCCATCATCTTTAACAACAACCTTGCCTTTTCCCCCACAAGCACAATACACACCCCAACCCACCCAAATAGAGCCATTGAGAAAGAACGGAGAGATTTAGCTTCAACAGAACTTGACATCCTCATTCCTCACTCTTTTTTTTTGTACTTCCTATTTTTTCTCATTTCTTTTCTCGATATGTTCTCTACATAATACTATGGTTCTCTAGAGATTTCCACCAAATATGAATAATTACAAAGTTAATGACTAAATGACATAGAAATAAATTCTCGAACAAATTCAACCCATAAATATGAAATTACAAAAACAGGTCAGTTATGACTTTATGGCTAACATTGGTTGTAATCATAACCAATGTAATCATGCAATGTTTGCATTATCTAATCTTAAACTAACCTGTGTAGAGAATTAGCAGTTAAGTGCACTTCTTTAAGATCCATTACACCCTTGTGCCTCTTCCTGAATGTGTCAAAAAGTTCATCTCTTATAGACAAAAGCTGATGAAAAATCGAGGGAAGATAAGTCAAATTTTCAGTATACTACACTAACATAATCGTGAGAGAGGAGGAAATTTTGCGAGTGTCAAGCATGAGGTGATAAAGCTAATTTTTAATGCAATATATGTCAACATCAAAAAAATTAAAAAGCGTGAAAACAATAGGCATATCGTGGAAATTTTCGGATGCCAAGAGACATTAGTGGACCATTGCTACCAAACAACTTAACTCACCTCAAAAAGATTTGTCCCAATTTCAGGACGGTTACATTAGTTATGTTCTTCCGTTGTGCTGTATCAAGGACTACTATCTCATTCAACACTAATTTTGTTCTACCTTTACCCTTTGTGCTACAATCAATAAGGATCATATTACTCTTCCTCAATGTTGAGGAAATAAGTCTTCAATAAATATGTCCAATCACAAGAGTCAATTATGTTTTAATTTACCTCCTATTCGTGCTAGTTTATCTTTTCATAAATATATTAATTTATCTACTATCCTTTCTAATTTTACACACATCCGCACCCACATTTCAAACTCACAGTTTCGAAAGTGTTGTTACTAGCGCCAAACATTTTATAGTAAAAAGCCTGTCAGGTGACAGGTCTTATTTCTTTTTGTAAAACTTACATTTCAAATTAAAAGGGTTATGTTGATGCATTCCCATCTCTAATCCATCTTGCTTCAATTTTGATGTGTAACAACATTTCTAAACTCATCCTCCTTATGAATAATTGACCCCAAATGTCAAAATTATTCTTTCTTCAGTATCTTTTGATTTTGATCTACCAACTTTAGTGCATCTCCACTTGGATTTTCACTTTTAGTAATAATACATTCTCTATATTTAATTTCAATTCCATTTATTTTAAATCCTTTTAATTTTAAAGTCTCTCTCCAAATTTCTAATTTAGGATTAGTCTTTACTTTCGTTTGATCAATCAATACATATCAACAAATTATATAAACCATAGAACGTCATCTTGAAAGCGTCTAGCCATAACCAAGGTAAAAAGATACAAACTTATTGTTGATCCCTAGAGTAAGCCCAAGATGATTGACAATACATTAGTTTCTCCTATGGTTGCTCTTATTAAAGTCATATCCTCATACATATCCTTTATCACACCAATATATCAATTTGTAACTTCTTTTTCCTAAAACCCACCATATTATGCAAACAAAAATTTGTTTTATATTAAAAAAGCATGTATACGAGACTCTTTTGTGACATTTATTCCTTTATGAATGAATGTACGTAGAGATAATGATTATGGTAGTATTCGATACTATGAAATTGAGTATGGATGAATGGACCCGGTGTAGTCAATGTGGTATAATTGCACTGGTTGTGTTTTGGATAGAGTTCCCTGTACAAAGGNTGAATGGACCCGGTGTAGTCAATGTGGTATAATTGCACTGGTTGTGTTTTGGATAGAGTTCCCTGTACAAAGGAGACTCTCCTCGGATTAAGTTAAGTTATGAATCTCAATAAATAGAGCGGAACGGTGTTGTATCGAGTTACACGATATCCACGGATATTTCGAGGATTGATGGGTGATTAATGGGGTTAATTACATACATCCGAATTTTCGGTCATCACACATTATATCCAAGGGAACTGTACTATAAGTCTTCTTAAAGTCTATATAAACCGTAGAAAAATCTTTCTTTGTAGCTTCCATGGTTGATCTCCCTGGCCTAAATCCCAAATGATTTCTCGATATTTTTGTTTCAATCTTAGTCATTGTTTGATCACTTTCTCCGAAAATTGCATTGTATGACTGATTATTTTAATATCTCGACAATTTATACAATATTGCATGTCTTACTTATTTCTACATATAGGCACTTCTATTTTTTTTTTGGCACTCGTGAGGTTGTTTTGTAGTACTAACAATCATACTATATCATTTAGTTAACCAAGAGATTTTGACATTACCCAAACAATTCCAAACTTAATAGACATACCACCAAGTACTAAAAATTTTTCAATTTTAAATTTTCTTTGTTGCATTTTTTCTTTTACTTCGAACACCCAATTTCATAGAAAAACTTGTCTTATCTATTCTCCAAATGCCTACCACATTCTTCAACACCGAATCTTCCTAAAACTTCCCAAAGTAATTTTTCTTTATTTCCTCACTTTCTTCATTTTGTATCGAGAGCCTTGAATCACTAAACTTCAAATGATTAGAACTCCTAGTTTTTCTTTCCCTTAATCAAGGATTAAAATTTCCTTTTTTGTCAATAGTTTCAATTACCTCAGAAATGTTTTATAAAGAGTCTTCATAACACAATGGAAATTGGAAAAAAAAAATAGAATTTTGATTCTAAAGCATACAAAACATTATGAAATATTCCAAAACATGGGAGTTTCGATTTTCCATAACTAATTCATTTCAATTTCTACAGAAACATAAATAATTTTGATTGTTTCTTTCTTACCCAAGTCTATATATATCATTCTCCCTGTTCTCCATATCTATATCAAAATGAAAATAATCTTATGTCAGCCTTAAAACTACCTTCTCCTTCTGCATTTTCACTTCTTTATTTTCAAGTTTATATCATCTTAAAATTTTCTTTTCATGTTCTACAACATGATATTTTTGTTTTTATTGTGGTTTCGACCATATCAATCCACCATTAATTTTTTTTAGTTGATGGCCAATTACCCTTTGATTTTTAAAGAAGCAATGCAAATTTTCTTTTAACATATGTTACCACTGTATTCCACATTAAATTAATTTATCTTCTAAATTTCACGTCATTTTGATAGTGTCCTATCCTTAAACAATCTATTCTCTCCTTTTATTTTCATCATCTAGTTCTTGGGTTTTTAATCTTTTCTCTTAACCTTGAACTACTTTTCATATATACATGTAGCTGAGAAATAAAAACTAAAATATTATGTTAGGAGAAAGAGAGAAAAAAGATAAAGATAGAGGAAGAGAAAGAGAAAGAGAGAAGATGAGAATAATCTGTGTGCAGGGCCTGTACGCTACGTTACCCTACACTCTCGTATTTATACTAAACTGATATTCTGAGAATTAAAATACTACCTTTCACTACTCAAAATATAGAACAAGAACTCGAGCACATGTAATATTCATTATCCTATGCTATTTGCTCAAGCTCCCGTTTGGACTAACCTTACCATTTTCACAAGATATGCAATGTACTTTTACTAGCTGACTTATTAGATATTCTAAATTTCACGTCATTTTTATAGCGTCCTATCCTTAAACAATTTATTCTCTCCTTTTATTTCCATCACCTAGTTCTTGGATTTTTAATTTTTTATGTTAATCTTGAATAACTTTTCATATATACATGTATAGCTAAGAAATAAAAAACAGCAATATTATGGTAGGAGAAAAAGAGAAGAAGATAAAAAGAGAGGACGACAATGAGAGAAAATGAGAATAATGTGTAGGCTACGTTGTCCTACACTCTTATTTATACTAAACTGATATTATGAGAATTACAATACTACCCTTCACAACTCAAAATATAAAACAAGAACTTGAACACATGTAATACCATTATCCTATGCTATTTGCTCAAACTCTCGTTTGGACTAACCTTACCATTTTCACGTGATATACAACGTACTTTTACTAGCTAACTTATGAGATAGATAGTTAAAAGGGGAAAAAAATTATTTCATTTTTATTTAATTCAATTTTAAAAATTATTAACATTCATCTCTTTTTTTAAAATAAAAGTTTGCTATCACTAGACCATGTGCCATTACAATATCTAGGATAGAATCTCTAGCATCATTACTACCTCCAAACTCATATCCGTCATACATCATCTCATAACACCCTACAGCCCGCCAAAACAAAATTATAACATAAAAATGCATTGTGTAAGAATTTATAGTTTTATTATTTTATTCCCCTTAGTAAGGCCAATAAAAAAGGAAAACAGAATAATAAGAAATGACACTTTAATTTTATTTAACTAGCAATGCACCACGTGCAACAGAATAATTTTTTAAAAAAATTAATAAAAAAATATTTGGTATATGTGTATTTGAATTAAACATCATCTCAAATTTACCAAACTTATTTTTTCATCTCTCATACTCTTCCATAAAATTTTTGAATACTTTATATATTTTCAAGAGTTGTTGTTCTAACTTTAAGAAAAATAATAAAAAAAAGAAAATAAATAATTACAGTTCTATTGTTTCTATAATTTTATAATTGAAAGTGAATTTTTAGTGATATTTGATATGTAAATTTTTTTAAAATTAATTTGATTCAGATTCTACTTAGAAATTATTGAATAAAATAAAAATAATTATCAATATAACAATCATATTGGAACTTACTGTATTTAGAATTAGTTAGGCCAATTAAGATAAAATTTAATATACAACACTATAATATATATTATAAAGCATATTAAAATTTTAAAAAAATTAAAATTTTCACATAAAATATTAACACAGTTTAAAAAGTTTACTGCTACTAAAAAATCATGTAAAATTGTATATACATTATTTTTTATCTTAAAAATGAAATGGTTAAACATTTTGATAAAAAATAAAAAATACATACGTAGTCATAATATTATCTTTATAAATGAGATGAGCAATATTATATTGATGGAGTTTTTGAAGGCTTTTTTGAATATTTTGTTAAAACATAAAATAATGCATATATTTTTTAAGAATAATATAATCAATTAAGAAGTTTCAAAAAAATTGACAATTATAAATATAGATAGATAATTAGAAAATTAATTTGATTAATATTTCACTTATAAATCATTGAATAAAATAAAAATAATTATTAATATACCAATCATATTAGAATCTTAATGTATTTAAAATTATCTAGGTTATTTGGAATAAAGTTTAATATACAATGCTATAATATATATTATAAAACATTAAATTTTTTTTTAAAAAAATTGAGTTTTCACATAAAATTTTAACACAGTCTGAAAATTTTACAGCGACTAAAAAATTATATAAGTGTATATATATATATATATATATATATATTATTTTTTATCTTAAAAATGAAAGGGTTAAACATTTTGATGAAAAATAAAATATAAATATGTAGTCATAATATTATCTTTATAAATATAGTGAGTAATATTATATTTATGAAATTTTTGAAATTTTTTTTTGAATATTTGTTAAAATTTATAATGATGCATATTTTTTTTAAGAGTAATATAATCAATCAAAAAATTTCATAAAAATTGAAATTTATACGTAGGGAATATATAATTAAAAGTGATGTTAGATATAATTTGGAGATTTAAATGCAGAATGATATGATAGTAATTTAGATATTAAGTGTGGAAGGATAGATTGCCTTTTTAATTCTTTATGAGGGTAAAATAGTAAATCAAAAATTTTTCATGTTAAGGTACTTTTATTAGTAGTATAGATAAAGAAAAAGTNTCTTTTTAACTCTTTATGAGGATAAAATAGTGAATCAAAAATTTTTCATGTTAAGGTACTTTTATTAGTAGTATAGATAAAGAAAAAGTCCCTTTTTTTTTTGTTGCTCAACCATTTTTATTTTCAAGTGAGATAAANGTCCCTTTTTTTTTTGTTGCTCAACCATTTTTATTTTCAAGTGAGATAAATCATTTTATTTAGGATTTGTTGAAACAAAAAAAAGGCTCAGCTGGGTACTTCTAAATGACCATTAATGTTTTCTCCTATATATATCCCCAGTTGTATAGGTATTTCCCACAATAAATCATCCATAAGTTCACAAAAATGAGTTTTTAACATGTTCACCCAATCCTACTTGGGGTGCATAAGCACTAATAATGTAAATTATATTTTCACATAGTAGAAGTTCAATTACAATTTTGGCATCTTCTTTCCTAAGAAAAATTTCTATTGGTTCAAACCTAGTATTATTTCCACTCCACCTATACCCATCTTTTTCCCACTTGGAAGTAGTATATCTCATATTTTTTATTCTCCCCAAGAGTTTCCTGTAAGAATTGCTATATAAACCTTTTTTTTAATCGTATTTCAACTAACTCCATTTTGTTATCTGTTAATGTTCCTACATTTCACGCTGTTAACCTAAGTTTAGAATCTTGAATTAACTTCTTTACCTGGCACCTGATGACAAGGAAATCTTTCCACATTTTTCTTCTCAGTGAGCAATTATAATGTGACCCCCCTGCTTATTTTTCAAACACCATNACTTCTTTACCTGGCACCTGATGACAAGGAAATCTTTCCACATTTTTCTTCTCAGAGAACAATTATAATGTGACCCCCCTACTTATTTTTCAAACACCATAGTGTCAAAGCAATGTGTCGCTTAAAAAAAATCATATTCCAAGAATATGATTTAGCTAGTCCTTAAAGAGATAGGGTTCAAATGCTGAAAAATCATTGGTGTTGAAGAAATGGAAATACAATAATAATAAATAGACAAAATATGGTATTAAAGATAATAAGCAAGGTCACTATTGTTGATTCTTTCCTTGCCCCTTTTTCATATGATCCGGTGGAAATGTCACCAGCAGGTGTTATTTATGTCTATATTTTTAGAGTTAATGTTCATAAGAACCGATTATATTCAAAAGGTAAATATAAAAACTCTTTGATGCCTATGTGCACCACAATATAACAAGTGAAGATATTGAATACCATATGACAATGATCCATGAATTAAGTGTAATGTCAATTTCAACCAACTCAACTAAAAATCTTCATTATGACCAATCAGAGTTGGGAGAACCACCATAACAAGTCCATACCNACAATATAACAAGTGAAGATATTGAATACCATATGACAATGATCCATGAATTAAGTCTAATGTCAATTTCAACCAACTCAACTAAAAATCTTCATTATGACCAATCAGAGTTGGGAGAACCACCATAACAAGTCCATACCACCATTGATGTGGAGCTTATATTACCATTATCAAAGCATTTAGACAAAGGCGAATGTCCAACATGATAATGAAGATGTATTTGGTTTAGTACAGTTAAAAAATATAGGAGAAAAAACACAATGACGATGAATTAACTTGATTGTTCCTTAAAATTACAAAAGCACCCTCATATGCCAGATTATATTGAAACTTTCTCCTTGACAATTCAATAATGCCACCATTAATCTGCTATAGTAAAGCATAGCCCAATGAATATAGAGGTTGGTTGACATAGATGCAACAATCTAATGAGACGGAGCTAAAAACTTAAATATTGGAAACAAAGTTATCTCCACAAACTACAAAAATGGTTCACAAAGTCAAGAGTTACTACTACCTGGAACAGCAGGGAGAAAGCTTACCGGTTGCTCTACATGGTCCTTCCAAAAGTTAACTGTTGAATCCTTTGCCTCACGAACCCAATTGTCAATGTCAGAACTTCCCACCAAACTACTATGACGCAGAAGCGACAATGAACAGATGGAAATGCCGATGGCCCCAACTGTATATCGCATCCAGTATCGAGTTACCTTTCTTGGTTTCCGATGTTTGGCAACCTAGAAAGAGATTTCCATTAGACAACAGTCTGGCAAATAGTTATACCATTAGGCAGCTGGACCTCAGAATGTGTAATAGTGAAATCTTAAACTGAATCTGTCCAAGAAAACATTACACTTAAAAGTCTTTTGCCTCATATATCTGTCTATTATCAAAAACAAAATCAAATGTACAACCCAATCCTGCCTAATAAGGGTCCCTTCTTATAGAAAATAATCTAATGTCCATACCGATTGCTCATCAGCTTATGTAGTATATATGCATCTGTTTAAAAGCATAATACGAAATTCCAATAGAATAATAAGATTCCACAAATCTTGTCATGCACGACATCACATATCTACAGTGAAGCAAGTACGTATAGTACCATATGTATCCAATAGAACTGGATTTGCTTGGCAAATTTATATATTATACGTACTGTTTGTCTGAATCTAGTGCCTTCTTAGTTAAGCAAATCCACACCCCATAAAAGTATCTGTTTAATATGATACACAGTCAGGTGAATTCATAGGAAAAGTTCTATCCTACGGCAAAGATCTCTCTCCATTAATAATACTATTTGAATCTAAAATCTGACCTAATATCATGATTTGATGATGTGGCAGGGCACATGGACCCAATACAAAAGTTCAACAATTACAATTCCAAGTTTCCAACAAAATTAAAAGGTAATATCAACTACCACATCATTAAGTCAGACTGTTAGGTCATACTGATATGATACAATACAGCTTCTCCTTGAAATCTCGTAGCATCCTAGATGCCACATATCATGCAGTGGAAGACTTAGAAAAACCTATATATATTCATATTAGTAGGTCCCTGCTTTTGCAAACATACTTGCACCACCTATGACTTAGCAATTTCACTCGACAGAATTCGTGGCCAGATCTTGGTATTTTCTTATTCACAGTATGCATTCCAGTTCAGCACATCTAAATTTCAGCTCAATGAATGTTTTGTACATTTAAAAATGTACTATTTCAAGCATAATTGTGAATGACAATGAACACAAAAAAATCCTACATATGAAGTAGCGAGAAAAAAGATGGTAAAAAACTCTTACAAGGACAGACAAATAAGAGTCCAGTTGCTCTAGATTCTGATAAATCAAGTTGATGGCATCTCTGATCTCACATTCTGTCCACTGAGAGCCTTCCTGGTTTACTTCTGGCAGCCTCTCAAACACTAGAGGTAATGAATAGCTTCCCTCAACAGAAGAATCACTCTACAGATTCATAGCATTAGATATAATAGGCGACTGAAAGTACTCATGTTTCTAGCAAATCATTTTCATGTGCAGTTTTAATGATCGTACGCCTCATAGTTTACAGAGTTACAAAATATAACAATACAAAAGCAAATTGCAATTGCTACAAGCATATGTAAGAAAAACAATGCCATATTAGTGACCTGACGCATTGCATGAAAATGGCCAATTGATGCCTCCAATTGTGAAAATAAGCCACTGATAGTGACCAATAATGAGCGCAATGACCACTCAGGATCCTTGATTAATTCATCCACAAATTTGTCAACTTCCATATAAACCTACATATGAAACATTACAAAACAAATTTTGAAAAATGAAATATACTGAACAATAAGAGAGAACGCATCACCCATTTGCATAACACTCTATAGATGGATTAATAAGAACATATCCATATGGTTCAGTGCTGTCACATGGATTCCAATAATTGAACTTAGGACTTCAATATGCCAAAATTGAAAAAATATGGACAACCATCCACAAATTGTGGGCCTAACCCACTCGTCATATTAACCAAGTTGGGTGTGCCAAAGAAAACGTGTCAAGATTTTTTCCAAAACCTTAAACAGTGTCAATCAACGTACTTGTTATCCTGAACCCTGCTAATACCCCCCAACCCCCTAAAAAAAGAAAAAGAAACAGCAATAAAAGAGAAACCAAGAAAACGATTACATGACAATATGTGACATAATTGGCTGTATTATTAGTTAAAAATCTGGATTTTTTGAGAAGTCAATCAAATCATACTCCAGGCTAACCTTGGTGCTTGTGAGAATTTTGAGTTGAAAGCCATATCCTGTCTAGGTGTTCTCTATAGGTTCCAGGAGCTTGCAATTTCACTTTTAATAAGCTCTCATGTGAGGTTGTCACTTGTTGCAAAATTCAAGGTTAACGATGAAATAGTAACTGATAAATTTGCTTGCGGATAAGAAAAATACTGTTCGTCACTAAGTGATTTGCAATTAGTATAGTTGGAAAATGTTGAACAAAAATGCAACCATGCCTCAACTCAAGGTATGACTCTCAATGTTGGATTGATTTAGTAAGAAATTACTCTGTTGATTAATGGATGTTGCAATCACAGCTTTGGCAGTGTTGTCTGTCATTATGAATTGTTCACATGTTGAGCTTTGTGCATATAAAAGTACAGTGTTCATTTTTACTATGTTCTCATAATATACTAATAGTATTAAGACTTTGTTGTCCTTTTCTCAATTTATGAATGATGTGAAGCATGCTTTCTTAGATAAGTCAATATCAATTAAATAATTTATTTTCTTCAATAAGTGCTCACTTTTAATCAAACAAATTGCTAAAAGAAATAGAAAAAATTAGTGATGTAATAATATGCTACGCACACAAAGTTATACAAAACATTAACATGGCAAACATATAGTCCTTTGGCAGAATATACGTCAAAAAGGCTACACAGGAGACTTTGGGAACAAAGCAAAAAACATATAGTTCAAAAAGAGTGAGTGGCGGTGGCATGATGGTGGTGTGGCAATGTGGTGGTGTGGCAATGTTGTGGTGGCGGTGGTGTTGAAACAAAGAGTGTGTGGCACAAGAAAAGAGGGTTGAGGAATTTGGTCTTTTGCATCCTTATACAAAAGCCCTGTTTCTAATGCCGCCAAACCCCCCCCCCCCAAAAAAAACAAAAAAAAAACCAAAAAAAGGAAAATTTTCTCCCTTTAGGCCACTATTTTCTGTTCAGACTAGTTTTTTTCCTCTTTTTGAAGTAGTCCGGGTCATAATGTTTTGTGCCAAACGCAAGATAAAGGGGGAGCAAATAAATTCTAGTCCAATTCCACCATTTTATCCCACTGACCAACATGCCCCAAGCATATTCAACTAAAAGAAAAAAGGGAGAGCGATACCTAATGATAATATTGTACTCAAGAAAATCTTATAAGGAAAATCAATGGTACCAGGATGCTATATAAAAAAAAGACTCTTAAATGCCAATATCAACTTTCCACACACTAAAAGCAATCAACAAAAGAAAAGCAAAAACCTGTGCCAAAAATGTAGCCAAAGAGTATCTTAAGCTAGTTAAGACTGTTATCCTCTCAGAGATATAAGAAGACGCAGAACAATAGAGATGCTGCATGCCAGAACCCTCAGCAACACAGTCATATATCAACTGAAATGTTCTATCAATAAATGCACGTGGCCCTCTCTCGAATATCATGAAGTATGCTTTTTGAACATTTGATCCCTGAAAATAGATAAAAGACCACGTAGTGTAAAATTCCAACCATAGCAATTCATGTATTGCATCAAGTTTACAGTTTATTCTACACCCACCAGAATCATTTTCTTTCCATTGAAAGAGTCACTTACTAACCTCTGCTCTAGATTGCCAAAATTGTAGGTTCTTCTGGATATCATGCAAATTCAGAAAAATGTGCTCCAAAATATCCTCCAAAACCTCATAAACTTTAAATGCCTCTGTCGTAACGCTGCAAGCATAGAGCGTAAACCTTTAAGACCTCTTGCTTAGAGTGTTAATAGAAAAACATATTATCATGCTCATATTCAAAAATTTCATGACCTTTGTGCTCTAAATAGAGGCTCTTCTAGAAACAAAAATGCTGTCATGACAGATAACACCAGTGACGTAGAATTTGAAAGTAAAAAGGGTGCATCTCATAAACAATATTTCAAGGGAGGGGGAAGGGGTGGCAGGCAAGTTCCAAAGCGCCCCAAAAAATGGGCCCCTAAAAAATTTTCAGCTGGCTCATTTGCCTTTTGTTGGGAGACAAACATACTGCAGCAGCGCAGCTGTACAAAGATGATCTTCAAAGTCCAATCACTACCCAGTTTAACAAGTAATTGACTTCAAAAATAGTAATTCAAGGCACAGTGTCCTTTCGAGCATAGCTATCTATTTACTGGATTTCTTGCTCTTGCCTAAAAACTGTTAGCTCATCTTACCTCTGGATTGAGAAACAGGAAATCTCTCAGAAAAATGTTTAACATCATCTCTTTCTTAAGGTAGGTCTGGGTTATATGAAGGTTTATTTTTTTTATTTTTTTTTTTGGGGGGGGGTATCTTTTCCTTGGGCAAATATATAACATTACTTATGAGCATTTTTACAAAATTTATTAATGCACTGCGTTCAAATTTTGGTAGCAGATCGAGAACAAATTCAAATTTAAAAAAAAATCAAGGTTTTGCCCAAAAAATTGTAGACGCTCATAAAAAATATGAAAACTTGTTCTCTATTTGAAAGTTAATCAATGTCAATAACTTGCATTAATTTTTCTGGTTCCTAAATTATAAGTATGACTTTGATATTTTGGGTAAATTATAGTGATATCCATTATAGAATGGTCTAAATATGTGGACACCCATTTTATTTTCTGAAATATCACTGAAATCCCCTCTAAACTCTTGTTCATGTACTTGTTTCACATACTACCTCTATCATACTGTGCAAAAATAAAAATGATGATGTCGTGACAAATTATTTCCTAATTCCTAATACCGGATTTACACTTGGGTGTATTTTCAAAAAATGGAAAGGGTGTCTCTGTATTTAGGAAATACTACAAGGGGTGTTACCATATATTACTTTATTTTCGATTTAAAGAACAATTAATAATTTGTCCACCCTGCATGGTTCATCAACATCCAACCACAAATCAAATATTACTAGTTAAATATATATTAGCCAAAATCTTTGCCTATGACTGTTAGAACATAAAGAAGAACATTAGTACAAAGAACATATGTCCACTTTCTACAGTGGAGCTTTCTTAGTTTATTTAATTCAAATATTTCACAATTAATCCAATTCTTACCTTAATAGTTTTACTCTGGCTTTCCAAACTAGAAAAAATCCTAGCTTCACCATCATGTACAAAGGAAATTTTCATGCAGATAAAGCAAGAGAGAGAATGGGTAAAAAGATAAGTTTAATGTGAACCAATAAGCACTATGAGATCATCCCTGAAGAATTTGGCCTAGTGATTCAGTCTAAGGCTTCGTGAACAATATCAAGAAAACCAAATGGCTCAAAGAAATACTGGAAGATAAATAGAATTAGAAATAGAACTCTATGACCATGGGACACCCTCATACTTCTATAACATCAGTTGAACACAATCCTTGAAATTCGTATCCCAAAGCTTACGAGTTATCTTTAACTAAAATTAAATGATACAAATTTCTGATGGGAGTTCAGATAATTGGGTATGCTCAAGGAATCAAACCCCCCAAAGCCCCAACCAATACACGGCATAAAACATTACAAAAAGAAAAAATTGGTATGCCCTTTCCAAAATTAGGTTCTTTAAACATTTTCCTAAGACATCAACTTCATTTTGAAAAAAATCCTTTAGTAAATTTTATTTAAGTTTCATGATTTGTCCCTACACTGCTACCTGTCTTAAAATCCTATGATTTTCTTGAGTTGCCCCACTCCCTTCTCTTGCACTTTTTCCTATGCCAGAAATAGTGCTTAAGAACATCCAAACTACCAGAGCTGGCTCCCTTATAATAGGTAGAACAAAATTAAGCCTATGACTTTTGAATATTAAAAATATGTGGTTGTTGCGAAGTGTTGTTTACTACAAGCATAGCGTAGCAAAATGCGACCAAGGAACAAGAATTCCAGCAATAAAACTTTAAGTCCATGGCCATGAAGAGGGAAACAATTAGGGAAACAATTTAGATTGAATAGGCATCCAGGGATGTTCAGGCCAATCAAGCATCAGGGGCTGAATGATCCACAACCCAGCTGAGTTACCAGCCAAGTGTAACCTAACTCGGTGGTTTTCAAAGTGGACAATTACTATGGTACTAAAATCCCAAACATGAAATCCACCAAGCGATAATGAGGAGCATCACATCTCCGCCTTTGAGGTCAACCAAGATCAAATTAATCACCCACAAATTGCCTGGGAGTGCTTGAGGTGAAACCCAACATCACCTACCGCCATTAAGTAATTAGCATCCCATAAAGTGGTGGACTAACTTGCCACACAGCCAATCATAACATGCTTATTATGGTCATAATTGTGATTGACAAAATTATGTGAGTCATATGACTCAAGTGTTTTTGATAACTGTGTTTAAGGAGTTGCATTATCAAATTTCATGTTCATATTTTCATGATTATGCTTCAGCATTTATACTTCGTGTTTCGGCATGTATGTTTCAGTGATTTCAGGGACAGGTAATTACTGGTTAAGATTTTACTTCATGTGCAACAACGAAGATAGTTAGGAAGTAAGTTTATGTCGAAACCTGTAAGGTTAAAACATTGTACTATGTCAATTCTTGATGTAATTCATTTTTTTGTCTGAAGTTCAATAAGTTATACAGGTTTGATATTGGTACATATGGTTTGTCACAGAATTACTAAAAGGGGATATTGTTAGGGTAATTGTAATTGGAAAAATTTTCCGAGCCACATGAGTCAAGTTAGTTAAATTAGGTCAGAAGTTTTGTAGATAAGGTTGGCAGGCGGACATAAAGAACTTAGTTGACCTCAGTGGCTACTTAGGTAAATCAAACTTACTAGACTTGATTAAAGGGATGAATACTTAGCCTTGACGTTTAAAAATAGAAAAAACTATTCTAAAACCAAGCTTAAGGCTTTAAGTGTAGACCAAAATCGAGTAAGGATGTAGCACTCTTCCGCNCTCAGTGGCTACTTAGGTAAATCAAACTTACTAGACTTGATTAAAGGGATGAATACTTAGCCTTGACGTTTAAAAATAGAAAAAACTATTCTAAAACCAAGCTTAAGGCTTTAAGTGTAGACCAAAATCGAGTAAGGATGTAGCACTAAGCTTTAGTGTGCTCAAGCGAGGTCATTTAAGATGGTTATGATAAATCAAAGAAACTAACGCTCACTTGGCACTCGAGCAAACTGTAGGAACTAGTCTGAACTACTGTAGTTGGTGCTCGCTCCTTACTTTAGCGAAGCTGAGGTGAGCAGGATGGATTGGCGCTCCAGCAGGATGGATTGGCGCTCCAGTGGCTGTCATTTCAAAATCTAAGTTTCCATTTTTACACAGGATTCTCTCTTAACCCAATNGTGCTCGCTCCTTACTTTAGCGAAGCTGAGGTGAGCAGGATGGATTGGCGCTCCAGTGGCTGTCATTTCAAAATCTAAGTTTCCATTTTTACACAGGATTCTCTCTTAACCCAATCTTATGTCTTCTTAACTCAATCTTATGACTTCCAACCAAGTTTTTTAAAATCAGGACCCTACCTTGAATCGGTTAGGGAAGCTAAACAATTGGAATCATAGGATCGGAACGAGAATCATAAGATCCCACGAACTAAAAAAATAGACAAAAATATATATAACAATATAGAATTCTTAAAAACAAAAATATAACTAGCCTAGTAAATATGCAAGATATAGAAATATTATGACAAAAATAGAGAATTTAGAAATATAATTAAAACTTGAAAAACTATAATCTGAATATTGAAGAGGGTTGAAAATCAACTATGGGTAGTAAATCTTATAGGATTTCGCGAGGAGGAAGCAGAGAATTCGAGTCCTTTAATCTTAACTTTCAAAGAGAGACAAATATAGAGAAGGGACTAGAAAAGTTATGAAATTGAATAAACAACGTTTAGTTGTTTGATAGTCAACCAAACAAAAAAGAGAAAAAAATGAAAACGAAAAACATAGAGGGCTATGATCACTAGCCAAGGGAGCAAAAAACAAAACTACCTGTTATTTTCAACTCTTCAACAACANATAAAGAAGAACATTAGTTCAAAGAACATATGTCCACTTTCTACAGTGGAGCTTTCTTAGTTTATTTAATTCAAATATTTTACAATTAATCCAATTCTTACCTTAATAGTTTTACTCTGGCTTTCCAAACTAGAAAAAATCCTAGCTTCACCATCATGTACAAAGGAAATTTTCATGCAGATAAAGCAAGAGAGAGAATGGGTAAAAAGATAAGTTTAATGTGAACCAATAAGCACTATGAGATCATCCCTGAAGAATTTGGCCTAGTGATTCAGTCTAAGGCTTCGTGAACAATATCAAGAAAACCAAATGGCTCAAAGAAATACTGGAAGATAAATAGAATTAGAAATAGAACTCTATGACCATGGGACACCCTCATACTTCTATAACATCAGTTGAACACAATCCTTGAAATTCGTATCCCAAAGCTTACGAGTTATCTTTAACTAAAATTAAATGATACAAATTTCTGATGGGAGTTCAGATAATTGGGTATGCTCAAGGAATCAAACCCCCCAAAGCCCCAACCAATACACGGCATAAAACATTACAAAAAGAAAAAATTGGTATGCCCTTTCCAAAATTAGGTTCTTTAAACATTTTCCTAAGACATCAACTTCATTTTGAAAAAAATCCTTTAGTAAATTTTATTTAAGTTTCATGATTTGTCCCTACACTGCTACCTGTCTTAAAATCCTATGATTTTCTTGAGTTGCCCCACTCCCTTCTCTTGCACTTTTTCCTATGCCAGAAATAGTGCTTAAGAACATCCAAACTACCAGAGCTGGCTCCCTTATAATAGGTAGAACAAAATTAAGCCTATGACTTTTGAATATTAAAAATATGTGGTTGTTGCGAAGTGTTGTTTACTACAAGCATAGCGTAGCAAAATGCGACCAAGGAACAAGAATTCCAGCAATAAAACTTTAAGTCCATGGCCATGAAGAGGGAAACAATTAGGGAAACAATTTAGATTGAATAGGCATCCAGGGATGTTCAGGCCAATCAAGCATCAGGGGCTGAATGATCCACAACCCANTCCATTATATTCAAGTAAGTCCTCCACACTCTGGGTGATCTAGAATTGAGAGAAGGGAATATAGGAAGTTTAGTAGCGAAGAGGATCATGCTATGTGCATGGAAGCTACCACACAATTATCCACATGAGTAGGCATCAACTATTGCAAGCCAATGACTAAAAGGGCCCACAAATGCCTAGACCACTGACTATACCATTTAATTCACTGGGTCCCAGTAGAGGAGTCCAACAAACCATTAATGGAGCCTAATGAACTTAACAGTACATCATGGACTTTAACCGAAATTGACAATATTTGAAATTCAGAGCATCCTATTACAATTTGACAATAATGTGGGCATCACCTTAAGCCCTCGTTGAGTGAGTGTGAAAGAATAGTGAAACCTTCTGTGGAAAGAACAATTAATATGTTAAAGCATGGGGTTCGTAACAAACCAAATGTGATTATGTTTTCTTGAATTAGAAAATTGCCAATCAATCGAATGATGCAATACAATACACTGAATAGAATTGAAGAAAAACATAGAAAAAAAAACACAAAAATATAGAGCACGAAGAGGCCAGTATTTCTTACAGAGAAAAATGCGGTGAAGAGGACGGCAAAGGAAGGGGGAGAAAAGTCCTGCGTCGCCGTCGTCGTCGTCTTGGTAACCTGGCGTGAGTCGTTTGGTAATAGAGATTTGAGATTTTCCCGATAAAATTCGATGGCGCCGATGATGGAAACAAACCCACCAGTCGGTTCCTGAGATAGTTGGAGTAGAATAACATTAGGGTTTTCAAATCCCTTGCGTCGGTCCCAGATGGATTCGCCATGGAATTGAGATTGAATTGAATCGATTAGATCGCTTCTTAAGCCGTCAAGAGCTGGTGGCGATGAAACTCCAAGTGAAAATTACAGAGCGTTGAATGAGAATCTGAAATTGAACGCGTTAGTTTCCCGGGATTGAGTGTGGGATTGGGACGTTGTGCTACTGTCAAAGTACGAAACTACCCTTACCCTAAGAAAACAAAAAAAAGGAAAAAGAGAGATTATATGGATAAACAATGCTAGTTGAGTGTAGTTTGGGTCCCAAGTACTTGGAAACCATGCATGCATGTCAAATTCTACAAACTTTAGAGACTTTAAATTGTTGGCAATGTAATCTTGGTGTGCCTTTAGTGGTGAGTGTCACCTTTTTTCCTAATTGACTAATTGATGGATACATGTGTTGGACAATAATAATTTTGAATTGTTTCAAAGAGACAAAACAGAATAACTGTTCAAAAAATTAGTTATGTTACATCTGAAAATTATTGTGAAATTTTAATTTGAAAATAATTATCTAATTTAACTGCGAAACCCATCAAAATTTCGAACTAATTTGTTTTTTCATGAAATGTTAGAAAGTCGTCACTCTTAGTGAAATTAGAACCAACCCTAAAGTTTAAATTCTTTGTTTTACTTTGCACATTCTAGTCAATTGTGTTTTTAATAGAGTAAACACATTATATTGTGATATATTTCATAGAAATAATATTTTTTTCTCATAGCTATATAAGATCAATTGACAGATATTCGAATGAACTATATAGTTGAAAAAATTTCAAAATTTTCAACAACCTGAATAGTATTTTAACCNTACATCTGAAAATTATTGTGAAATTTTAATTTGAAAATAATTATCTAATTTAACTGTGAAATCCATCAAAATTTAGAACTAATTTGTTTTTTCATGAAATGTTAGAAAGTCGTCACTCTTAGTGAAATTAGAACCAATCCTAAAGTTTAAATTCTTTGTTTTACTTTGCACATTCTAGTCAATTGTGTTTTTAATAGAGTAAACACATTATATTGTAATATATTTCATAGAAATAATATTTTTTTCTCATAGCTATATAAGATCAATTGATAGATATTGGAATGAACTATATAGTTGAGAAAATTTCAAAATTTTCAACAAGCTGAATAGTATTTTAATCACTACTTATCGAAAAAAATATTTTAACCCCCGAATCTCGAACAAATGATATAGTAAGCTGAAAAGCAAAACCTTACGATAGATGGTAGAATCTTTAACTTGAAGGATTTACATTAAGTTAAGTCAAGAATCAGTTGATGCACAAGGATCTACATATTTTATTGGCGGAAAAATTGNCAAGCTGAATAGTATTTTAATCACTACTTATCGAAAAAAATATTT